CTTCGAGATCGACGACGACTTGCGGGAGAGCTTCATCCGCGGCTATCAAGCCGACCCCCACTTTCGCGACAAGTACGCGAATTGCTCCTCTCCGAATTCRGTGCCTTCGCATTATCGGATCCAAGAGGGCTACTTACTTGTGCATTCACGGGGTAAGGATCTTCTTTGTGTGCCGAATGATTCACACTTGCGCACACGGCTTCTTGGCGAGTTTCACGATGCGCCCGCCTCCGGACATTTTGGTGTCAACCGTACACTTGGCCGACTTCACCAGCGGTTCTATTGGCCCGACCTTCTCAAGGACGCCACCCGCTATTGTGAGTCGTGCGAAGTCTGTCGGCGTTGCAAGGCACGCAACCATCGTCCGTTCGGCGAGCTACACCCATTGCTAGTGCCCCTTGGGCGACGGGAAGCAATTGCTATGGATATCACCGGCCCCTTCCCGAAGCACAGGACCGACGTTGATGGGATCCTCACGGTCGTCGACCGCCTCACCAAGTACGCCATGTTTTGCCCTCCCGCTATCACGCAAAGGCACCGGAGTTAGCCGAGGTCTTATACACTGGTTGGATTCGCTCCAAGGGCTACCCCAAGGAGATCGTTCGCGACCGGGACACTCGCTTTCTCTCCGACTTTTGGGTCGCCCTCGTCAAGCGATGGGGCTCATCTTTGAAGCCGAGTTCGGCTCGCCACCCGCAAACCGATGGTAAAACGGAAAGGGCGCATCAGACCGCTCAAGTCCTTCTCCGCACTCTCATCCGTCCCGACCAGGTTGATTGGGTTGAGCGCTTGCCAGACGTTGAGTTGGCTTACAACTCATCGATCCACCCRBCTDTYGGGATGTYGCCRTTCGAGTTTGAGCATGGTTCACCCATCTCATCGCCGCTGGACGCTACTTTGCCGCGCACAGCCGAGAGCGACGACCATCTTGCGTTCCTTCGTCGCATGCAAGAGCTTCTTGTCAAGGCACGGGATCAGATGTCGAAGACGCAAATACGGATAAGCTGTCAAGCCAACCGCAATCGCCTTCCTTGCCCGTTCCGCGCCGGCGATCTGGTTTGGGTCTCCGCAGCGGAGTTCAACCTTGAGCAAGACGTCTCTCGCAAGCTCCTTCCCAAGTGGATGGGGCCTTGGCGCATTCTCTCTGCAGCTGGTGATGATCCCGAGGGGCCCTCATTCCGCATCGCGGTGCCACCTCACTTGCCCGTCCACACGGTGTTCCACTGTTCCAAACTCGCTCCTTTTGTTTCAGCAGAGTCCGACGAGTTTCCCGGTCGACGTACGCAAGACCCTCCTTCCATGGACGGATTTCAGGAGGCCGGCTACATCATCACCGACCGGCGCCATGGCAACAAAGAAACAGAGTTTCTACTTCACTTGTTTTACCGCAGCTACAAGGCTGACCGTTGGCTGACGCGTTCGGAACTGCAGGCCACAGCCCCCGCCCTTCTCTCACGCTATCTTAGCAAAGGGAAGACTACGCAGAGCACTCCAGCTCCTCGCCATCCTCGCTACATTCCGCCATCGGATCGGCAGCTTCGCCCGCGCCCCGGCTCGTCTTCATAAGGAGGGGGGCGTGTTACATGCTGAAAGCCTACACACGGGCCCCTCACG